ATTAGCCGTTTTTAGCCGATTTTGCTATTCGCAATATTTTCTTAAAATTTATATACGTATATAAGTTTCCATTTTTACCCAAAATCTGTTAGAAATGGGTAGCCTTATCTCGGAGAAATTTTTCATGTTGAACTGTGTTACATACATACAATTGAAAGACGTTTTTTTCTAAAGCAAAAAGTCTTGAAACACTAGGCTGATTTCAGTAATTTTTATTTTAAGCCCATATACGGGTACAGTGACCAAAATATAAACTGGGACGCGACATTTTAGCAAGTTTTGGCTATTTTTCTTTAGTTACCTTAATGTTTATTCGTTTTTATGAAAATGTAGCTGATTGCTTAAAAAATACCATTTAAATCCAAACTTCATACTTTGAGAAAATATTATGAACTTACTGCTGATTTTTGGCAAAAACTTGTACATACTTTGGCAAAAAATTCGTAACACCGTCATTAAATGCCAAAATCAGCAGTAAGTCCTCACTAGTTCAAATTCGCGTCTAATTAAACTAGAATTTAACAAGTAAAGAAGTATAAGTTCGCGCAAAACCCGGCGCAGGTATCAAATATTGTCGCTCCAACTTTCTCTGAACTACCTTTGCATGATAAGTATGGGTCTTTTCCTGATTTCAAACGTTTTCGATAATATGCAGAATTAGACTTAATGGTATAATTGAACCTAGTTAGGTACAAATCGACTAAGTGGTTACCGAGGTACGCCTTTGTAGTTATAAAGTAGGCGGTTCTGTGCCCAATTCCTAAAAGTGTATACTTAGCAGTCTTATTTATTGTTAGGAGATTGTTGTAACTCTTAACTTTGAGTAAATTAGCGATCTCATTGAAATATCGCAGTTTTCGTATTTCTGAAGTTTACCGTTATAAGGGAAGTGGGTGTTATTTTAGTCCGATTTGAGTAATTTTCAACAAATTGCCTTTCCTTTTTGGTTGTTGTTGTTTCCGACAGGGTGGGTGTATGATGTATTTTGGAACGAATTTCCGTCATCCCTTGTCAAATTTGGTCACCAAGGTTATTAAGCGCACCGAGTTTGGTGGAAAATTATAAATCGGTTACCGAGATACACATTTGTGGTCATAAGTGGGCGGCGCCACGCCCATTATCCAAAAATGTATAATATTCTAATCTTCTGCTAAGTGGTTAAGGCATTCATCGACTTTAAGTGAATTAGCTCCAGTAGTTACTGATTTAACGCAGTTTTCGTGTTTCTGTAAATTACCGTTATATGGCAGGTGAGCGTGGTTATTGCCCGATTTCAAAGTTTTTCAACATATTTCTTAGCCAGGCCCTACCCAAACCCCTCACCGAGCTTGGTAAGATTTGGTGAAGCGGCTACTGATATACAGCAATTCATCATAAGTGGGAGAGGTTAGGCCAATTTTCCAAAAATTTCATAACATTATTATTTTTTACCATAATTCTACTCCACATACTAATTTTCAACAATTTGTATCCAATATTTACTGAAATATCGCAGTTTTTGCATTTTTCGAAAATACCGTTATATAAAAAGTGGACGTGGTTACTGATTTAACGCACTTTTCGTGTTTCTGTAAATTACCGTTATATAGCAAGTGGGCGTGGTTATTGCCCGATTTCAAAGTTTTTCAACATATTTCTTAGCCAGGCCCTACCCAAACCCCTCACCGAGCTTGGTAAGATTTGGTGAAGCGGCTACTGATATACAGCAATTCATCATAAGTGGGAGAGGTTAGGCCAATTTTCCAAAAATTTCATAACATTATTATTTTTTACCATAATTCTACTCCACATACTAATTTTCAACAATTTGTATCCAATATTTACTGAAATATCGCAGTTTTTGCATTTTTCGAAAATACCGTTATATAAAAAGTGGACGTGGTTACTGATTTAACGCACTTTTCGTGTTTCTGTAAATTACCGTTATATAGCAAGTGGGCGTGGTTATTGCCCGATTTCAAAGTTTTTCAACATATTTCTTAGCCAGGCCCTACCCAAACCCCTCACCGAGCTTGGTAAGATTTGGTGAAGCGGCTACTGATATACAGCAATTCATCATAAGTGGGAGAGGTTAGGCCAATTTTCCAAAAATTTCATAACATTATTATTTTTTACCATAATTCTACTCCACATACTAATTTTCAACAATTTGTATCCAATATTTACTGAAATATCGCAGTTTTTGCATTTTTCGAAAATACCGTTATATAAAAAGTGGACGTGGTTACAGTCCGATTTCGTCCATTTTCAATACCAACCTACCCTGGATAAAGGGCAACCTACATACCAAATTTCGTTGATATATCTCAGGTTTCGCTCGTGTATCGACGGACAGACAGACATGGCTTAATCGACTTCTCTTTTCATTCTGATCATTTATGTGCAAAAGTGCGCCCGGGTATAAAAACAAATTGGGGGACTTGGAGTACAACTGAGAAAGAAAAAGCGGTATTTTTCGGGGGACAAATGAAACTAAATGTATTCAACAAAAAATTGATTTTTTTCGCTTATGGAACAGTAAAACCGTTCATAAATAAAAACACAATACTATTTGAACAAAAAAATGCCTGTAATGCTGCTTTCAAAGTCTCCTGCCTAAGCACTCTCCCGAAGGGAAAAAAGAACCCCCAGTGCCAATCAAAACTCTAAAAAAAGCGGATTTTCGGCCCACGCTATTAATCAAGTATAACGACAGTTTCCTTTCTTAACCAAAAATGAATTTATTTGCCTTTCAACTTTATTCAAATAAAACATGTTAATTTTTGCTGAAACATTTTTGCCGTTTTTATCCGTTTTTTTTTTTCTTTTTGCCAATTTCGCCGGTCGGCCCAAAAAGTTCTGGCAACACTGATGTACACGTAATAGCCTGACGCAACGACAGCGAATAAGCAAACCTACGATGAACGAGCGAATGAAGCAGAACGTTGCCTCGATGTCTATTTGCCCGTTCATATCGCTAGTGGGTGATTTAGTTGGCCAAAATACAACAAAAGCAACTGGAAGTTTTCTTGCTGCTTCTTTTTAATTAGCGGAAACGACTCTGCCAGGTTTCATTTCATAAAACAAATGTTCAGATTTCACGCTTCACTACCTATTCAGATTAAAATGTTCTTACGTACTCATAGGAACATATGCACGTATAGGTATGTATGCCTGTGTATGAGTACGTATGTAAATACTATGCATATTAGCTCTTTTATTTCGTAGGAATGGCGATAATTAGTAATTAATCATTCGATTAGTCAGTTTTTAATTTATGTAAGATTTATTTCAGTGTCTAGTTTGTTAAGTTCTTGACGAGAGCTGTATTGTTTTCACAGATTTGATTATCAATTCTACGTTTGAGTATCGTTAACGTAGAAATGGAGGAAGATGAATGTTACATATTTTGAAATATATTTGTGCTATCTAGCTAATAAGCCTCATGTTTCCTTGGTTCACGAAACTCACTCCAAGAAAAACGTGTCACCAAATCTTCTCAGATATTAGTAGAAATGTAAATGCTTAGAACGTACAGTTTATTCCGCAGCAGTGCGAGCTTGACAAAAGCTTGCAACTTTTTAATATTTTTCTTAACTGGAACTAGTCGACGTCGGCAGTCTGAGGCGGGCATGCTGCACGTCTATCTAGCGTCTGTATAAACAATTTTTTAGTCACTGATGCCAAATCACCTTGATAGCCATGATACGATGGCCCAGCAGGTAAAATGCTAAAACTTCGTTATAAAAATTAGTTAGTACACACGTTGCGACAGCAGCGTTCGATTTAAGGTGGCCACGGAGCCCCTCTAAAGTCGACTCTCCAACATTGTGTGGCCAAATTCAAGACCATCGGTTCGGTAGACAAGTATGTCCAAGGAACTTCAGATCGGCCAAGAGGACAGCTCCTGTCCGTGAAAGTTAGCACACCCCACGTGTACAAGAACTCAGCCCTTCGCATAGTTAAACTTGGGGACCTGGGCTTTATAGAGTAGTACACTGGCCCAGGAGCACAAAGTTAATGATCATTGACAACGCCGTTTGGAACATAATCACTACTTTGGCCGGAAAATCATCTCATAACGACGGGGCGATCACCAAAAAAATCTTTGATCTGATGGAGTCAGTGGTCTGTAATTTTTTGAAAGGGCCATTGGAGAGGACATGTATGATAAATAATTTCATATGGCCTAAATTTAACGATAAGGGCACAAACGACAAGCGGTTCTAGCAAGAACGCCACAATGGACATGCCGCATAAGCGGTGGGAGGCCATGGAATTGGCTATCAAAATAGTGTGGTCGAATACCGCTAAGCTTTTTCTTATAAGTCGCAATCGACCGCTGCCCTTTCAAGTCATTGTAAATTGGACCGCCGGGAGCTGTGGAACCGATGAGATTTGAACGATTAGCATACAAGAGCCTTCTAAATAAAAAGAAAGTATTTCTGCAATTAGCTCCGATCTTAGGCCCATAAGATATTAGTGTTCACAACAGAAACAAAAACGTTTGTGTTTAGGCCTATCTTTTTGACATTTCAAACTATATTTCTTCACCTAGAATATATCTGGCAGGCTGTTGAAAAAGCGTTTTTACGTTTTAGTCAGTTTCTACATTTTATTACATGTATGCTATCGATGCAGGACATCGATGGATTGACAACTCTTACTGTCATAATGACCTTCTTTAATTTCCTTTATATGAGGCAATTTTACAGGAAACTTTTAGTTGAAAGCAACGCCTGGTGTGAATGGACTTTCAACTAATCGTTGTCAATGAAGTTAGGGGGCAGTCAACTTATGATTCAACTAATCGCCTCTAGAATGCAATGTAAAATCGCCTTGTGTAAACACAGTATTAGATGACAAAACGTTGCCAACTTGACCCTACATTATTTCGCAATCCCCTTCTACTTATTATTCTATTTGTTTTGATTTCGGTACAACCGTATTGCATAGTCTTTAGCACTCAGCATTTTAGCTCCTATGAAAACAAAATATTGAAAAATTTTTAAAAAACTTACATCTGGATGTTCTCGCACTGGGACATAGACTTTCTCATTTAACTGTACGGGGGCGCCTTCAGGTTCTGGCAGCGTGAGTGGTTCCTTTTTGACGCCATTTATTTGAAATAGTGAAGCACGTACTCGCGCAATTTCTGAAACAAAAAATAAAATAAAACCAAAATATTAATGAAAAATTGATTAGAAATATTTTTGAACAATTGAATGATATATTAAATGCTGAAATTCAGAAACCACGCATGCATATATTATATTATTAACCTTCTGATGTATCAAATAGCTGACTATACAAACACACAATGACGGTAGTCATATTGAGCTTAATTGAATTATCAAATCTAATAGACTTGTGAACTCTTGACACGCGGCCATATCGAATTCATTTCGAACACAATTCGCCATCAAAGGCTCCGCTGCATGTTTGTGTGTATGAATGTGCGTGAATGCGTGTGGGAGAGACGGGCATTGAACACCCAGTCGGACTATGCAGAATGTGGTTCTGAAAATAGTGCCTTCTGTAGCAGTAATCTCTTCGAGAATGCAATTTAAATTTCTGTTTGATAAGTACATAGATTAGAAAATACCAGCCTAGAAAATTAATAGCATTCCTTTTTCATTATTTTGGAAGCCTAAAATAAGTAAATCGTGAAGGTCTCGCTGCTGGAATCGGAATTTTGTAATGCTTTGACTTCGGCGCAAATGAGTACGAAGGAGTCCAAACCAAGAAAAACCTCCAAATGCGAAATTGCCTTCTGAAATAACGTTCCTACTAGTTTGCAAGCTTGTTTAAACGCGAATTAAGGATTTTGTTTTTGCGTTATAAGTCCGCTTGGGTAGCAATTATACACACACACACATAATATATACGGATGCGATGTGCTTGAAAACATGTGGCTCCATAAATATTTTATGCGCACTCATGTATTTATGTATTATGGTTTTCACTTATTTTTCCACTTTTCATTTAATATTTCTTACACGTTGCAGCCATAAAGTACAGTAATTTGCCTCAAGTTATGGCCAAAAGTCAAGACTTAGCTCAACAAACAATCAACCGACCAAAAACGTGATTGACTGACTGCCTGTTTGGCTCACTGGCTCTCTGCATTTAGTTGTTGTTGCCTTGCAATATCGCATTGCACTTGGCCAAACGTGCGCTAAGAAATGCTAGCAACTCCAATTGCAAAGAGCCGACAGAAGCGAAGACAAAAGCCGAATTTAACAACTAAAACACCTCTTCTCTTTCCGCACCAACTATTAACTGAAAATTGGTAGAATCGGTATTGAATATTCGATGTGTATGTGTGTGTGTGCGAATGTTGCATTGAGCATTATTGCAATAAAAGCTCACAACTCATAAATACTCATAAACTTGGGAATAGCAATTACCATATATATGTACATATGTACATATGTATCTGCATATATAAAGGTACTTACATTTTGTACATATATATTCTGTGGTGCATACATACATATATCAAATGGTGATGATCGATGCTACTGTAGCTCATTGCAATTAGGATCGCCTATAAATTATCATTTAAGCTGCTTAAATGCATTTTAAACGCTTACAATTTTTCACACGCGAAACTAGGAAAATAACACTTTACCATTTGAATGTTTAAAAACGATTATGAACGATTATTTTGCAAAGCATTTGTAGCTGACAACCATTGGTTTCACTGCCCGCATACACATTACATTCTAAAGGTGGACAGGTTCAACTGAAATACCCAAACGCGATGGAACCACAATGACCAAAATGTGATAATTGCACACAAATTGGTCAGTAGCAGGCCAGTATGGGTAGAGCAGTTACACTCAATATATCGAATTAAACAAATGTTCAGGCTCACTGCCACTAATACAATTTCAAGATGAAGATTAAAACTTTTGTACGGATCCTAGACTTTAATAATTAGTTAAGAGTTAAGTTTTTGTGCCAACTTTAAATTGACTGAACACACCACATATACATATGTATATAACTAAAGGAAATAATAAGGATTAAAATGTTCCTTATATCGCACATCTGGGCTCGAATCGTCACATACGATATCGTATTAGTCGTCACGCAAAAACGCCGTTTTTGGATCATTACATACGTGAGCGTACTCTTTATCGCATTCAGCTTATACGACTGACGGTATATCGTAATTTTATTTCGTATGGTTTTCGATCCGTGAACGGATGATACGATTCGAGCCCTGGTCAAGCGATCTCCTTTGCTGTGCAAATTTATTATTCTGATTAACGATACTGCCAAAATCAAAGCAAAAGTGCCAACGTCAATTCAAAGACGTATAATATATATAAAAACAAAAAAAAAAACATTTGAATACATTACAAATCACACAGTGTATTACAACAAAGTACATAATTCAACAACAACGCTAGGAGAGAAAAGTCAAGTCAAAGCAAAGAACAAACCAATATTTTTGTTAGTGCACTGACTAAACAAATTCCCGCTATTTTCGTATATTAAAGCATGGACACACGGCAACGTTGGTGCGGATTAAGGGAACAATTGATCTAATCAAAACNAAAATTGTGCCTTGACAGACGGCAGTAATGCGGATTAACGAGCCGCGAGGCCGTAGGTTCGAATCCCACGGCCAGGAGAATATTTATTTCATTTTTTTATGCATTCAATTATAACTTTATATTTTTTAATGTTGTTTTAAGTTAGCTACTTTTGACTTTTAAGTAAAATTCAACTCTAAACATTTAAATTAACTAATAATAAAATAAACAATGTGAAATAAAATAAAACAAACGAAAATAAAACAAAGTAAAATTGAATATATATATATATCCAAATAAAATTGCAAAAATTTAAGTAACAATAAAAACAAAATTTCTTTTACAATCGGTCCAAACCAGGATCGAACCTGGAACCTGCAGACTTGTAGAACGCAGCCCTCACCACACGGCTACCGCAGATGAAGTAGTTGGCTCTACGCTCTCTGAGTTTTGGTCAGTGTTGCTCCGAGTTACTTTTGAGAATTAAGTCTAGGACTTAATCCGGCTCAACTGCAGTTAATTCCCGAGATAATTCAAAATTGGCGAGTTGATCTGGATCCACGTTGCCGTCTGCCCATTCTTTTAATTCTAATTGCGTTCGCTCATATAAATGCTGTTCTATGCAAAAAGGTAACATTTAGAGCTTTGCATATTTTTATGTTACGAGGTCGGTTTAAAAAGATATCAAACCAATATTTTAAGTAGACATAGAGGAGGGCTGTTCCTTCTATTAAGTTGTTTTACACAAAAAGGGCACATCTCACTTTGAGTCCTTATTTCATCTACGAGGGGAGGCTAAAGTTTTGAGCCCAAGGTATTAAAATAGCTGATAGAAATATATAAAAATTGTATTTTTCTATATATTCTCCCTCTACCTCAATGCATTTCCTACATTAGTTATAAAGGGCTTTTAACCCAATTATGAATCTGACCATGAATTTTTTAAATTCAAATGGGGTTACTCGCAGCTTCTTGGGGTTGTTGCCGCGATATTTGGGAAACCATTCTGAGAAATGAAAACAGTTGTGTGGGTGCGGTAAAAGCGCGCAAAAAGCGTATATTTTACCTTAAAACCAACACTTCCCAGAATTAGTTTTTATAAATTTCAGGTCGGACCTCAGGGAAACTAATTAGTTTTTTTTCAACTTTTCGCTCTGAACTTACAGAGCTATAAAAAAAAAAACTATTTAATACATTTAAGAATTTATGAAATAATTTTTCTATTACTTCTCTTCATGAAAAAACACTTTTTGCAATAGCTATAATCGAAATCGTACAAAAGAAACTGTTTTCCTGCTACATCTGACTTACATCGACTAGCCAACTTATAAGCATAGTATTTTTTTTATCAAAGAACAAAGATCAAAGAACAAAATATGAATCACAGTTATCTATTGTATTGGTAAGTAAGCCATTTCATTTTGACGCAATTCGCATGCATTTGATCTTTACATTTTGTCCCGCTAGTTTAATGCGGAGCTGGGCGATAAGGATTACATCTGTAATCGACTGCATCTAGGATTACGATTAATTTAATCGCAATTTCAAAAATTACTAACCTAGGATTGCCGTAATCGTTCATAGAAGGCGTCTTGGATTACGATTAAAATAATCGTAATTTTAACTTTCTTAAAATTATGATTACTGTAATCGTAATTTAAGTTCCTTCGATGTAGGATTACTGTAGTCGTAATCTTGTTTTTTTTAGCTTGTTGGGATTACTGAAATCCTAATCGTTCAGTAATCATAATACTTATCGCCCAGCTCTGGTCTAATGAATCCGACCTCTGTGCGATGGCAAGTTTTCGGCGAGTTGAACCGAAGTCGTCTGGCAAATTGGGTGATGACGCTAAGCATTCGATAAACATTGATGTTTGCAGCCATGACCATCGATGTTGCTCAATACATCGATGTTTTTTACGTCCCTAAAATTTTATTGAAAAATGAAGTTAAACGCATATTTATGTTTGAATAGAATTAATATTAGTTTTTGAAAGGAATTAATACTGATTGATTTTAATTTAAGCAAGTTAGAATAAGAAAGCATTTCTTAAAAATTTAAGAATATTTGTTTTAGTCGAAATTTTTTCTATCCTGTAAAGGCAACATAAAACCTTCGCGTTGGCCTTGGCGTTGGTGTTGGTTTGACTGAACGCACGTTAAAAGTATGCTTGCTACAATGAACGCTTTGTGGCGAATGCTTTGGCCACTAAATCAGCACGACCACTGGGTTTGCAGGTTGAATACCTATTTAGTAGAATGCAATTGTGGTTGCAAATATATTACCGTACTGCGAATCCAGCTGTTAATTGATTATTGCATTTGTTTATTATTGCCAGTCAATGTATGCATTTGCAGTTAGTTAGGCGGTGTTTGAGTACCCATACACACACGCATATGCATGAACCTACCCTGCTGTGAAATGGTTACGCAATCAAATCCGCACAACTTAGATATCTTGGCGTTATATTCGACGACAGAGTTAACTTCAATTTGCATGCGGAACACGTGACACCTAAGGCGTCAAAGATATATGGTGCCCTCTCCCGACTGCTCTCTTGGCGCGAATAGTTGCATTGGTACTTCGGTATGCAGTCCCAGTTTGGGCAAGATGGATGAAAGTGAATTAATACCGGCATCTTTATGAGGCGCTCCACAGGATCTGTGCACTGAGGGTCGCATGCACCTAGAAAACCACGTCAGACGAAGCAGCATTGGTTATCGCTGGTATGCCGCCAATTGATCCCTTAACGGAGGAAAAAATGAGAAGTGAGCAACGAAAGAGTC